AAGTACTGGAGATGGGGTTGGGGGCTGGGGACGGGGATGGGGAGAGAAGACAGGAGAGTGTGTGAGAGCAGCTCTGCTTCCCAGAATATTGGAACACAGCCCCTGTCGCCTTCCATAACAAAATTACGAAGCATTTGATTACAAATAACTGAGAGGTACTTACAGTTCAGTGGCCCGCTCCGTCTGCCAGCCCTGAATGCAGCAAGAGAAACCCAAAGCCTGTTAGCAGCACACAGATTAGAATCCTAACCACAAGACAACGTCCTTCACAAAACAGGAACCTGGTGGGAAATTCACAGGCCACAGGCTTTCCGGCCACGCACCTGTGATACAACATCTGGGATACAATAGCGCATCTGCAACCCGTCACAATAAATGTTTTAAGAGCTCAAGGGAAGCAAATGCAGCTGTGTAGACAACGGGCCGGCATGTCTAAGGATTGTGCTCTAGCATGGATTTCTCCTCTGAAGCCTCCCCAGTGTTTCTATAACTTACGTGACCAAGAGAACATCAGGGGAAAAGGGTTTTGCTCTTGTTTGCTTATTTAGGAAAAATCATGTTAGACTCTAACTTCCTCCCTGAACAGAATTATAAAATCAGTAGGAGGATAAAATGTAGTAGCCATTGGGCCATGCGAGGTCTGTGATGTGGAAGCACATTTTGTAAGCTGAGTATTTGATACAGCACAGAGCTTTCCTTATCGAATGCCTTCATCCTTCTTATCTCCTGTTCTTTCAGGCTCCAGCAGGTGAACGGCCTCCAGCACCTTCTAAGGTTTGCTGCTCTCAGCCCTCCCAACTCTCACCCCACCCACAAAATCCAACCATGGCTTTCTATTTGGCTCAATAACAAAGAAAAAGACGGTAGGATATTTCTTTTAACAAACACATACATATCTCTGTGTGACAGGCATAAATACTATCAACGCACTTTACAATTGTTTAACCCATTTTTAATCCCCCAAAACCTCTGAGGTAGGTTCTATTTTCATCTCCATTTTATACATGAGGAAACTTGTCATATAGCTACTAAGAGGTGGAACCAGGATTTAAATGAGCCTGTGAAATTAAACACTATACCGTGCATCCTTAAGTAGCAATATTATAAAGGTTAAAGAAGCAAAATTATCAGATTATACTAAGTGCTCATATGCAAGCATTTATTAAAAATGGAGATTTTTTAAATTAATAAACTGAGTTTTTTAAATGGAGGAAGGTTACCTAGAATGTTCAAGTGGACAGGTTTTCATAATGGGTTTCTAAAATTATAGTTTATGAAGCTTTATGAGATATACAATAGTAGAGTTAGTCAGTTGATATAATCACCACTCCAATTTGTATGCATCTTTAAATCATCAACTATATTTATTTCTCTGATTATATAGGTAGTAAATGTTCATGTTTGAAAGATTCAGAAAAGTGCATGGCCAAAAATAATAATCTCTCATAATCCTACCATCCAGAAATCATCACCACTGATATTTCCATCTATAGAGTCTCTAGTCTTCTTTCTATATGTATATTCATTCATCGGTGTATTGACTTAGCTTTTATTAAACGTGTTCTTTGTGACAAAGTGATGCATTATTCAAAGAAAGCAATTTATCCTACTTTTTTCACAGCCCCAATGTGTACTCAATATTCTCTAAGGCTTGTAAAATACATAAAGCCAGTACATTAAGATTACAAAAGTACTTTTAGAGTAGGAATAAACTAGAACATTCTTAAAAATTCAAATATTCAGTCTAATTGAAGTCAAAGTGGTGATATATTTCGAAATGCGATTTTGTCCTTACATTTTCTGTAGTACCCAGAAGCAAAGTTTTAGCCTCAGTCAAATGAAAACACTGCTTGCTTCTTAAACTTGTGCACAAATTCATTGATATGACACTTTC